GGGGCTCCGGCCGCGCGCCCCCCGCCCCCGCCGCACCCTCGACCTGGCCCTCAGCATCCTGGGCAACTGCTGCACCGAGGCGGGGAGCCGGGCCCAGGTGCGGGAGCTGGGGGGGATCCCCTCTCTGGGTGAGTGACGTGAGGGGAAATCCCTTCGCTGGGTGAGAGTGACGTGGGGGAATCCCTTCGCTGGGTCTGACGCAGGGGGGAATCCCCGAAGCGGAATGGTACAGTCCGGGGTTACCCTGCTCCTGTCAGCCCTAGGGAGCAGCCTGGCTCCCCTTGAGCCAGAAAGTTGGTGCGGGAGCTGGGGGGGATCCCCTCTCTGGGTGAGTGACGTGAGGGGAAATCCCTTCGCTGGGTGAGAGTGACGTGGGGGAATCCCTTCGCTGGGTCTGACGCAGGGGGGAATCCCCGAAGCGGAATGGTACAGTCCGGGGTTACCCTGCTCCTGTCAGCCCTAGGGAGCAGCCTGGCTCCCCTTGAGCCAGAAAGTTGCAGGGTTCCCCAGCTCCTGGCACCCCTGGGGGTGCAGCCACAGAGGTATTGTCTGAGGTCCCCCTGAGATGTAGTGTAATAGTCTGGGGTTATCTGCACCAGCCTGGCCTCTGAAGATGGGCCAAAGTGGTACAGTCTGCATTCTCCTTGCACCTGTTAGCCTGGAAGTGCAGCTTGGATCCCACCAATCTGTAATGGTACAGTCCAGCGTGTCTCCCCCACCCCCTTCCCCGCTCCCCAGTGGCATGTCTCAGGAATCTCTGCACCTGCCAGGCTGGGTTGGAGTGTGAGGTTTCCTCCCTGAGCCAACATGGTACGGTCCAGGTACCCTGCACCTGAATGCACTAGATTCAAGGTTGCATCTGGAGTCTCTGTACCCCACACTGGCCGCACGAGCACCCCCATTTGTGCTGCAATGGTGCTATGGTTTGATTTCTCTTCCCTGGCTATGGTGTGACCCAGCATTGCCCCTGTGCATGCATGATACAATGTGGGGTCCCCATCAGTGGTACAGTCCTGTGCGCCTCCCCCCCCTCTCTCCTTGGGATGGAATTACCTGATGTCTCCTGCTGCCCTACTCCCCAGGGGTGGCTGCATCTTGGTGCCAGATGAAGGATAAACAGCCTCTGCACACTGTCTCCGAGGCAGGTGCATGGCAGTTCTGTAGGAGGGGTACAGCACTCGCCATGGCTCACAGGTGATGTCTTTCTCTCGCTTCCCAGTGATGATCCTGAAAGCTCTTGGGGTTGAAAGTATCCAAAACCGGACAGCACGGGCCCTGGGCAACCTGGCCATTGATGCAGAGAACCTGCAGGCTATCCATGATGCTGGTGAGTGAGGTCATGCCTCCCTTTGAATGGGGGCAAGACTAGGGGCTGTAGTTCTTGCTCCACATTGGTGACCCTCTCTAGTCTTGCTAGCCTCCAGGTAATTCCTAGGCGGAGGTAATGGGAATCATTCCCATGCCGGGAGCCTCCTCTCTGATTACCTCTGATGTGGGTAATACTGGGGCTCAGCCCCATACCAGGATGGGGAGCCCTCTGCTGGCCACTGTTCCCACTATTTTTTTTCCATTCATATGTGGAATAAATTGTATTATGTGCACCAAAGTATGTGTGGATGTGCACCACCAGCAGAAACACAAGCTGCCAGCTGTGGATGACTATGGGCGCTTTGCTAATCAGCTGGGCAGCATTTAAATCTCTCCTGGGTGGCTACCTGAGCTTACAGGGATCACTGCTGCTGACCTGGGGGATAATGGGGTTCACTCCTATATTGGGGAGCCCGCTCTCTGATCCCTGGTGGGGCTAATATTGGGATTGACCCCTAACAGGAAAGGAGCAATGAGGGGGTTCACCTCCATAGCGGGGAGGAGTCCCCTGCCGACCTGGGAGGGAATGATTGGGGTTAATTCCCAGGATCTGGGGCTCACTAACCCCGTTTCTCTCTCCACCCCCTCCTAGGTGCAGTGCCTCCCCTGGTGCAGATCCTTGCCAGCTCCCAGGACAGCGAGTGCCTGCAGAGTGTCATTCGGGCCCTGCGGAATCTGGGCGCCACCCCAGCACACCGCTGGAGTCCCCTGCCGACCTGGGAGGGAATGATTGGGGTTAATTCCCAGGATCTGGGGCTCACTAACCCCGTTTCTCTCTCCACCCCCTCCTAGGTGCAGTGCCTCCCCTGGTGCAGATCCTTGCCAGCTCCCAGGACAGCGAGTGCCTGCAGAGTGTCATTCGGGCCCTGCGGAATCTGGGCGCCACCCCAGCACACCGCTTGGCGCTGGCCCAGCAGGGCGCAGTGCGGGCCATCTCGGAGCGCCTGGCTGCCAGCCCCGAC